ATAATAATAATAATAATAATAATAATAATAACTGATATGAGTTTAAAGTGCAAAATGGGTTATTTTAATTATCTTAAGAGCTGCAAGGACCCGGTGATAGTAATGGAATTCAGTGGGTATCTTAGTTTTTCTGTCAAGCTTGCCATAGTGAATACCAGAATCAATTTTCTGAAAAGCTGTATAGACAAACGTGAATATCCGAGACCATCATTACGCCGAAACCACATCCATCCAAATCATCGTTCTTTGAAACGTCTTACGCTGAATTATATCGATGAAATTAAGTCTAGAATACCAGAACTAGAACGGAATATTTCTTTACGTTGACATACATTATTTGATTTGTCAGAAGATCAACGTTTCAAATTCAAAGATTACATTGACATTGTTAGCAAAAGTCGCAAACAAGACGTGATCTTGAAATTAATGAAAACTTTGAAACAGATGAATACTCAAGCTTCTTTTCCTGAGTCTTCAGAGAAATATGTTTTTAATTACTCAAGTACAAAATTATCAACTATTCAGCTACAAGCATTATCTCTTGGTCCTAAATATTGTAGTACGTCAGCTAACATTAATGAACTCATCGCTAAAATCCAGTTTGAAAGCCTCATTCGTCAGACTAATGACTTTATTCCAGTATCTAATAAAGATTTTGAGCCTTTCAAAACAACTTTTGTAGATTTTTGTAATCAATATGTAAATAAAACACCTACAATTAGTCGATTGCTCACAAAAGAACATAAATCTCAATTATCTGATCTTCGGAGAAATCAGGACTTAGTGTTATGTCGCGCAGACAAGGGGGCAGGAATTGTCCTTATGGATCGTCTTGACTATGTTACCAAAATATCTTCGATATTATCTGATCCTGTCAAATTCTCTATTGAGACCGTTCAAAAAGACAACTGAAAAAACTGAACAGATGCTAGTTAAAATCTTAAAGAAAATGAAAGATGATTCTGTTACCAATTGTGACCTCTATGAACACCTCAAACCATCGGGTTCCGTTATACCAAGACTATATGGACTCCCAAAAGTTCATAAGAATAATGTCCCACTACGTCCTATACTTGATATGAACAACTCTCCTTATCACTTGATCGCTACATGGTTAGTTGACATTTTACAACCTGTTAAAAATCATACCAATAAAGACAATTATCTTGACTCCTTTAAATTTGTCGACTCAATTAGAAATATCAACGTAATTGGTAAGAAAATGTTTTCATTAGATGTCACTTCTCTTTTTAAAAATGTTCCTCTCACAGAAACCATTTGTTTTTTATGTGACTAAATTGAAAACAATAATCTTGATATGTGTATCCCAAAACCTTGCCTTAAAGAACTATTACAACGATGTGCGCTCAACGTGCAATTTAGATTTAATGATGTTTTCTATAGACAAATAGATGGAGTTGCAAGGAGTTCTCCATTGGATTCGTTCTTGGCTGATTACTTCATGGCCAATCTGGAAAATTCTGTACTTCGTCCAATAATTGAGAGATTTCATTTATATAAGAAATATATGGATGATTTGTGAAGAAGACATGAACCTGAATGAAATGTTGAAAAGTTTCAATAATTGTCACTCCTCGATTCAATTCACCCTAGAAGCCGAGCCAAATAATGGATTTCATTTTCTTGATGTCCAATAAAATAATGCCTGATAGTTTTTACAGCGATCTATATATAGAAAACCTACCTGGAATGGACAGTACACTAATTTCCATAGTTGGGTCTCATTGAGTAGAAAGAAGAACTTAATTCACTCTTTATCCTCTAGGATCAAGCGAATCTGTCCCACTGACACAATAGATGAGGAACTAATTCAACTTCGACAAACTCTCATCAGAAACGGTTATCCACCTAGATTCATCGATAGTAACTTAACACCCAGAATTCATCATGAGAAAGTGTCAACAGTATAGAAGAAAACGTTGTTCATGAATATGGAATTTAAAGTAGACATAGCTGCTGAAATCGTAAATAAACTGACTTCAAAATCATTGAATAAAACTTTCTACCCAGCCAAGCTCCGAATAGTTTTCTCAAGCCGGCCTACCGTTCCTGGATGTGGTAAAGATAAACTTTCGCTTTGGGCCACATCAATGTGTATTTATAAATTTACATGCTCATGTGGGGCTCATTACATAGGCCGAACAAAGCGATTACTTTCCAAACGCATTTCAGAACACTATCCGGCTTGGCTTTTAAAAGGAGAATGTAAGACAATCACAAGTTCTATACAGGAGCATTTAATCAATTTTGGACACATCCCTCACAAGCATTCTTCTTTTAACGTGATCTACAGAGTCAAATGAATTGGATCGAAGGGATGTCGAATCAATATTTTATGCGCTGCTGCGGCACTGGCCATTCACAAACTCAAGCCTGAACTTTGAGTGCAGAAGCGATTTGTCCAACCTCTCATCTTTCCTTGGCCTTAATTCCCTTGACGGGTATGCTTTTTGTTTTTTCTGCGCCTTTATTTGATTATTACCGAATTTTTTAATTACTATTTTGCATTTTAAACTCATATCAGTTATTATTATTATTATTACCTTATACAAGTTTTTTTGATTATTATTCAGTTTATCAGAATGGGTTTTGTGGAGATTTTAGAAATTTCACAGATTGAAATCATGGGTCAGTTGAAGCTAGACCACCATTGAAAACCTGGAAGCACTGGACGGCCGTTTCGTCCCAGAATGGGATTCCTCAGCAGTGCGCATCCACGACCCCGCACCACCCGGGGCTCGAACCCAGGACCTACTGGCTTCGCGCGCGAGCACTTAACCATTAGACCACTGAGCCGGCATCCAACGGTGTTAATGTCTAACTTCAACCAATCCACGAAGTTGCGCTACTGTACACCAACTTCGTGGATTGGTTGAAGTTAGACATTAACACCGTTGGATGCCGGCTCAGTGGTCTAATGGTTAAGTGCTCGCGCGCGAAGCCAGTAGGTCCTGGGTTCGAGCCCCGGGTGGTGCGGGGTCGTGGATGCGCACTGCTGAGGAATCCCATTCTGGGACGAAACGGCCGTCCAGTGCTTCCAGGTTTTCAATGGTGGTCTAGCTTCAACTGACCCATGATTTCAATCTATTATTCAGTTTATTATTATGACCTTTGTGTTTGTCGCTTTTCTTCATATCTGTCAAGTGGACCTATTATCTGACCCATAAATTATTTTCTTCCTTACCCCTTGATTATTACGTAACCTCATTTGTTATTTATCCTCGAATCCATTTTGGTGATGCAAGTTTTTCTATCCTCCTATAGGCATACATTTTTCACATAACTATATATACAAATGTACAGCTTAAGTAAATGATCTCGTCGAAAAGAAAATTTTCTTCGCTAAATTCTCTTTTTCTTATTCAATGACACTATGGGTTATTTCAATTACATGGTTTTTATCAACTATAAGTTATCATGAAGTGGATCACTTACTGACTTTAATAAATCATCAGTTTGACATGCTTTTGTGTAATGTTTTCATGTTACAACGCAAATGCTCAGTAAAATACATCACCAAGATATGTTGCTTATGAAGCGAAAAGATAACATTGGAGAAAATCATTAAAAGAGATAAAGAGGGAAAAGTATCGGAAATTATAAACTTTAAGCTATAAAGTTACCAGCACTACTATTTCTCAGTTGGGATACCATTGAAGACCAGCGAACACTGGGAAGTTGTTTCATCTTAATGTGAGTCCCTCTAGTAATAACTTCTTATTATACCAATCAACATAACCTCAGTACCTTGTAATGAACTTACTGATACTAACGTAACATAACCACATACATTTTCACCATGCTATGCCATAAACATGAGACCATTTTGACATTCTCCACCGCCTTCGCGTCTTTATTTGATTGACTGTACAAAAGTTAACTCTAACGATACTCTTGAGGTGTAATTTACCAAACTGAAGTTTTAAGATGACAACACCTACTGACTCATCATTAGTTCAGTACCTGGACACACATTGTCAGCACTAAGTACAATGCACGTGGTATCACCAATTCTATGAACAAAACCTCTTATGGTCACAAGCAAGCTACAGTACATGCGATCGTTATATCTAGATTTGCAGAATCTGTTTCAACATTAACAACACTCATACAGGTACCTATATAAAGAGATACCTGAACTGCTTTTTATAGCTGATCACCAAGTTCGTGCTCAAATACACTGTACAGATACTTTAATGCAATTATCATTTTCAAGTTCCGTGTTTTGTAAAAGGTAATTTAATTAAAGGTTAGCTTCTTAGTTTGAGATTATACAGAAATTGCTTGGTTGTAAATGTGAAACTTAATAAGGAGGAATCGTGAGCAGAGATAAGAAATATTAGGACAGGGGGTTCATAGGGATGAATGAATTTTATAGGCGACATCACAAAAGGACCTTATTTAGATAACTGATGGAAGCCAGGAGACACTACACAGCTGAAAGGTTACAGTATTGAAATCTTCTGAAGTCCTCATCCACGACCATACCATGGATAAAACCCAGGACTTTCATATTTCACGGCAGCAGATTAAACTTTAAATTTATTAGCGTAATCATAATCATACACTAGGTAATGACTAATTCCAAAAGTTCTTTCCAGGAGCACTGGCCGGAGTTTTTAATCCGTGAAGTTCAACCATATTGGGTGTGAGATAGTTACCAACCAACAGGACTACATGATGGTTGTACAATACTGCAAATTATTTAAAGTGGCCCAAAAGTTAAGCATCCTTCAGGAGATCTAGGAGTCCTGGGTTCGACTCCCCGAGTCCCACAGAAGAACGAAATAGCTATTAAATGATTTTTAGTTTTTATTGGTTGTGTAACTATGATAACTTCACGATATAACCTACAAGATAAAAATTGTTCGCTGAAATTCATTATATATCCCGTTGACCCCCGCAATCAATTACGGTTTATTTTACATACAAACCATAAACGTCTAAAAGACTTATGTTTTAAAACGTAATAAACTTACTAGGTAAATAGTGTGAAGACGATTCAGCCGGTTGACCATAGTAATTATGCTCCATTTGATAATCAATATATGGTAAACGTTCAGATTGTCGACGTAATAATTCCATTTGGTATTGATAAATTAGATGAGATAATTCAATATCCGAAATCTCAGAAAAATATGATAATGGATTACGTTTATTAATGTCATCATTACTATCAATATTTTTGTTTAGATTGCTATAATATGAGTAACTATTTAAATTTGAAGATGGTTGATGTTGGTGCTGTATATTTGATTGTTGTGAATACAATGGTTTATTGTTCAATGGATTATTATTATTGGTTTGATAATTGGGAAAAGGAAACCAACTAGACGGATTTTCACGATTCATTTGAGCTGTATAACCATCATACAATTCATGACGTTGATTTGGCTTATTATTATTATTATCCTTTCTAGTCCATGGCTTCTCTTGTTCGCGGGGGTACTGTTGAGTATTCATTTCATACATAGTTTGTTGGTCAGGTATATAAAGCGATTCTTGATAATTATTCATTCTTGTATATGGATTGTAAGGGGAATGTGATATCTGTTTTTGTATTGTTGATTTAGAAGGTGCAAGGTTTACTCTTCTATAGTCAAGTCGTTCATTCGTCTCTCTTTCTGTTAATGACGGTATTGATGATGATACCGATGGAGATTGTCCGTATGATACACTATTCTTATTAATATGATTAGATTGAGACAACTTCGAATCATACATCAAACGTGTATTGAAAAATTCGACAGCATTGTTATTATCGCCATTGTCAGTCTCTTCTTGTGAGTTAAAATTATCACGACTTACTCTCTGATAGTGTTGTTTTCTTTGCTGCTGCTGTGTTTGAGAATCTCTTACATATGTTTCATCTGACTGAAAACCTTTAATTTGATCGAAATTATCATTAAAATCACTCAAAAATGTAGGATACGATAATGATGATGATGATAGTGGATATAATTTTACTTTGTTCAGTTCGTCAGTTTTTTGACCTTTAAACCCAAGGTCATATGGTGGCATAACCACTTTTGGTGTCTTTTGTTGTGATGATGATTTAGCCGGATGTAAATCTAAATTACCATATCTGCGTTCATTTTCGGTTGAAATCGGTCTACTTTCAGCATAATCAATTCCACATAGTTCTAAATAAATTAATAATCCAAAGTATATAGTGAATAATGTACTCATTCCATGACTTAAACGTTTACGTTGTGTAAGTCTTTTTGATGTTTCATCTATACTCTTCAATGTATCGCTTGAATTCCATCCACTGATAAGATTATATATGAAAATGATTGAATCAGTGTGTAATGTAAGTAGTATGACATTTATTTTACTGTAAATTCTATAATTACGAATATCATTGATACTGTTTCCGAAAAATAGTAGTATATCCTTCTGATGATAAAATCGTGTACTGAGGTAACATACTGATTTCCAGAACCATATACTTAAAGCACCAAACCGTATGCAGAATATCCATGACAGTGATAGTAACAACGAGGATGTCACTGCTGAGGATGGCAGTGATATTAACTCCACGAAATAAGAAAAAGGGGAAGTGAGTGAATGTGATGAGGGTAGATAGTTGTTAAACCACTCAAAGATACCAGTGAGATAACAATGAGATGAATGATTAAAATAATAATGAATTAAAATCAATGATATTAATAAAAGTCGTAGCACTACTAGTATTGTTATTATCAGTAGTAGTAGTTGTTGTTGATGTAGTATTTCCGATAAATTTAAAACAGCTGACAATAATAGTGATAAGTTTGACAACGTCCACTGGGGATTGAACATGAATTTGTTCAAAGTGATCTTATTTATTTTGTTTTGTTTGTTACTTATTATTCAATAAATTGATTAATGAAATAATTACTGATTTGATAAATCAAGCGTTGAGTTTGCAATTTTTTTAAATATTTATTTTCCACTTTCTGCCTTTCACTCTTTGAAATAAATGATTTAAAGTTCACACATAAACTACAATATTACATTGTTTTCATAGAGGTTAAAAGATTCAATGTAATTTTATCCGAATTCCCATGCATAATGTATAAGAAAATAAATTTCAAAGAAAAATAATAGTTCGTACATCACCTCGTTCTGTTGCGTAGTGCTGATTACTGTTTTTGTTCTGGTTTCGTTTCGTACTTTGTCACTGTTGTTGATAATAATAATAATGACGTTTCTATGACCGCCAAAATCCTCTATGTTTTCAACAGTTCTTGTCTATGTCTTTTCTAAGTGATTAAAATTTCAGTTCACCAATTGATTAATAATATAATTTCCATACAATTTTCAGAAAGATTTTCCTAATATTCCTGATAGTTAAATATTGAATAAATAATTATAGAACATTATTTTATGTGAATTATAGGATGCAATAATTGGAATATACTCAAATCACAAAATAAAATAACAGACAATCGTCTCTGATCATTTTGGCCGGAGTGAATATCATCGTTTCCTGTGTTTCTACTGTTTATTATAACAAATTACGTATGCTTACAAAATGGGTATGTGTATGTATGAAATGGTATGTATTTGTACGTGAACTAGTGTGTTGATTTATTTAAATAATTGAGTGCATATATATATATATGATTGTTGCGTATATATATCATGTTCAACGTTCAATACGATTGACACACAGAACCTGCGCATTCACATACAATTGATAAAACTGAATTGGTACACAAATTTAAAATTTCTTGTTGGATGGTAGTACATTCCATGAATATATGTAATTATTGATATCAGTATGCTTATAGGTTTTTGATTGTAGGCGCTTAACTCATTTAATAATAATAATAATAATAATAATAATAATAAAACTAATTATTAGAAAAAAATGTTAAAAAATAATAAGTAAAATCATTGTCCAATCATTAGTGTGCTATACTTTGACTTCATTCATCTGAGTATACACACAAAGTGCATGATATTAAGTGTCGTTATGCATATAGTTTCTGTGCGTATGTGTTCATGCTCTTATAAATATGTGTAAGCACATTTTTTTGGTGAGAAAAATATTAAATTATAATTTGTATTAATTTTTGTTTCTCTTTCAGTCTTGTAGCAATCTTACGAAAGTAGCTTTACAGTTTCCTGTACTCGATCGGAAAATTTCAGTCTATGTATAATGTGGTACAAAGTTTTTCTTAGAAATTTATTACTGAAATTTCTCATTCACAAACAAATCAATAATATAACCAATGTCACTTTTAAATATATAGGTTAATTTTTATAAAGTGGTAAGAAACATTTTCAGCTGAGTTAACATCATGGACAGACTTAAACTAAGTAATCATAGAAAACGGAAGTGCAATGAATTACTGAATCATTACAGGTCCGAAGCTGTCAAATAGTAAGTACCCACTACATCATCAATACAGAATCCAGGAGTTCTAAGTCTTGTGGCTGGCACATTACCCTGACTTCATTAAGTCAATATCCAATAATCTGCATCTCTAACTTTCGTCAAGTGATAACTCAATGGTTTTATGCTTCCCACATTTTTTAAACTACTATCTAGAAGTTATTCAATTATAGCAAAACGTAAAACAGGGAACACTTCAAAAACGAACCAAGGGTTTAATGTTCAAAACTTGCGAACACACAGAGCCAATAGAATATGGGGTCGCTTTCCTGGTCAAATTGCCAAATAAGATTGGATGTAGCCAGTTGCTTGGCTCATGACAATCGTAACGTATTTAATTTTTTCGTACTACATTCAGTAATTTTGACTATAAACCTTTTACAGATAAACTTCTTTAAATTTAACATTCACTTCATTATTTTGAAGATATCTTTGGTAGAAAATAGAATAAGTTTGCAAATAAGTTGAAATGTTTTTCAGTTTGTCTATCTGTAACAATATCACTAACTGTCATATTACTGACATTATATTTTAATAGTTTACGTTTCATTCTCCACCATATTTATTACGGCTTACTAATATCGAACTGTTTTTACAGATACTGATGTTCACTGGATGTCAGCAACTTTCCAATGAATCAAACTTAATAATAGATAACCCAACACATAACCCTTTCAGTCTTAAATAATTAAAATAAAATTTTTGCATTTATCTTTCTACGTTCAAAAAGGTGTGAACTACACATTAATTGAACCAACGTTATTATAACTAACGGTAAAATGGCACTGTGAAGATGATTTGAAAAGATATTAAGATTGACCTTGTGATGAGTGTATCAAAAAGAAGTTAATCTATTTGCAGCTTTGTGAAAACGTACTAAAACATACTAGAAAAACGTATACTTAAAACGCTGTCCAGCGCTTCCAGGTTTTCAATGGTTTTTCAATCATCCTTAGTTCTTTATTTAAACTCAGCGCATTCTACAATCACCACAAGCTCAGCTTTACTAATAAAGTAGAGGAAATCAAAAACGCATTACAAAATGTGAGGGCATCTTAATGAGAGATCAGAGTAAACTGAAAAACAAGGCTAACGTTTTATTATACACAAATATTTGGTATATTTATGCAATTTCCTATGACTTGTGCTGTGTGCATAAGACAAATTTTTGAGACATTGAATTGTTCTGACAAAATTCTCTTTATGTAAGTATAGTAATCACTATAATTTGAATATGCCAGAATAGTGCTTCTTATATTTTTCCTGTTTTCCTTTGGTAAACCATTAGAAATGATGTCTATAAATATGATATATCTACCCTGCCAAACGCTCAATATGAAGTATTTTGATCAAATAGTGGTCAGTATTATTATCGAACACTTAAAATCACTCTTTTCTTTTTTATTTAGTCCGATATTTATACAGCGATATATTCCGTTATTTATGTTCAGACGAATGTTTTGTAATTCCCCTTTGCGATTCCATTAGTTTTCTATTAGACATTGGTTGCAGTTTACTATCAAACTTCCTCAAATTTTTTCCAGGTATTTAGAAGTTTTGATATTGTCTACGAAGAAAATACACTGGTAAATTATTTTTATATACAACTAATTTCCGTTCTTGCTGAATAACAGAAATTGACGAGTTTTACAGGGAGGATAACGCTTATTTCATCAATGTGATAACAAGAGAATAGTGATAATAATGCCAAGAACGACAGTGAAAATGTAGTGAACAGAACACCACTGGGGACAATCAATTGCATTGGACACAAAATTACAGAACTTGTTAATAAAATCTAAGAATCATATAGTAAATGCTTAATTTACAAAATGTCCATCAATTGTCTTAAAATGACCCAGACTTCATTGTTCTTGCATCTTCATACAAATTGTATTCTGTTTCCATTCTTTACTGTTCGATCTTCTTGTCTCTCTGCTGCTAGACATTCTTTTCACTAGTGTCATATACTACTTATGTCGATATAAGTAGCACACAGCACAAAAAGATTGTAATTAAATCATGTTGTTTAGGGAGCACAGTGTCACCACTAGTCGTATGGAAGTAGAATACAAATTTCCTAAATCATTCGTGACAAACAATGATCAATTTATCTGAAGAAAACGACATGACAGTAAAAGAATTCAAGCAGGGAACATTAACACATTGACAAACATAATAAATTCGCTCATAACATTAATCCTTTGGAATTATTGCTGTATATTCGCATATTTAAACCCAGAGTGACGGTTTTTTTCGGTGAATCTCATATATATTTCTCGTTGTTATTTTCGATTTCCTCATATTGTATATTTCAGCCCTCAGCTTATTATTATTATTATTGCTATTGTTATTATTTCTCCGTATCATGTCACTTGATAATTCACTAAGCCTGTCATCTAAGTCTATTTCCGTGGGTGCCATCTCTGTACCCTTAACCGTCTTTAATCCTCGAAAAACTGCACTCTGGCTTGCACGCATAGAAAGCTTTTTTGTTGCAAACAGAATCATAAGTCAGAGCACAAAATTTAGTTACGCAAACTCACTGCTACCGGACGACGTTGTTGAACAAGTGTCTGACGTCATTTTAAGCCGGATCCTGACTCACTATACGATTACCTACAAAGAGAGGTCATTCGTGTTACATCACTCACCGACCAGCAGACAACTGCTCAACTTTCAGCAAATGTAGAGTTAGGTGACAGCACACCGTCTCGATTAAAACGCCACACGACGAATGTACTGAGAAATCGTATAGTAGATAAACGTCTATTATATCAATTGTGGCTCAGACATCTCCCGCAAAACATCCAACAGGTACTAGCAATCGGAGACGAAGATGTTAATTTTGGTAGGCTAGCAGACAGCCGAAAGTATTTACGGGCGGACTAGGGCTCACGCTGTATCGCACATACAATCAAGACCAAATGACGAGATCACCGAGTTACGACGAACAGTCGACGTCCTCACTAAACAGACAGCCCAGCTTCAGTTTTTGAATGCCTCCCACTGCAAGTGTAAAAGAAGGTCCAGAAGTTGTAGACGTCGTAGTCCAAACACTACCAGAAATAACATTTGCTGGTACCATAGAACGTGCGGTAAACAAGCTAAAATGTGTACTCCTCCCTGTAACTTCGCAAGCACACAGCAAAGGGAACGTCAAGGCCGTCGGTTAGTGACGACTGCGATCTCTGGCCACAACTCTCAAGACAGTCGTTAGTTATATGTCACAGACAAAATAACCGGAACACAGTTCTCAGTCGACACTGAGGTAGAGGTTAATGTAGTACCACCTACTACACTTGGGAAAAACACACCTAACCCCAAATTAAAACTACGTGAGGCAAACAGATCCGAGATCAAGATGTACAGCAAAAGGCAGTTACAATCACAATTCTGTCCCAAATCCAATTTTTCATAGAGCTTCATTGTAGCTGACGTCCTCGTTCCTATAATCGGCATTGATTTTCTGCAATTCCATAAAATACTGGTAGATGTTAGAAATCGGAAACTTGTCCTTACCCATAGTAATGAAATTAGAGGAGTTATATCTAATGAGACGTCCATACATTTATTAATCAAACCTCAACACGGCAAACGGACGCATACCGTCGTACATCACATGAAGACAGAGGGTCCATCACTGTTCGCACATCCAAGACGCCTTGTTGTTGATTGAGTATCTTGTGTAAATAACTGTTTATAAATACTTGTACTGTTTTGGTGATGGTTGTGATAGTTCTGCAAGTTTCAGCATAGTATAATCGAACTGTCTTGATGTTCGTATTAAAGATTCTCACTTTGATATTTGTTGATAGATATTTTGAGTTCTATATGTTTTTCAATTGTAGGGAAGCGGCTCTTACCTTCACATTTACATCAGATCCGCCTTGTTTATCGGTGACTATGTCCAGGTACGTGTAGGTTTTCACCTCTTCCAGGGCTTCGCCATCAAGTATGATTGTTAGTAGAGGGGTTGTGGAGATTATTAAGTTTTTGATTGAGATCTTCAACCAATTGATGTTAGACCATCATAATTGAAAACCTGGAAGCACTGGACGGCCGTTTCGTCCTATTGTGGGACTCCTCAGCAGTGCGCATCCACGATCCCGCGAGCGGGATTCGAACCCAGGGCAATGGAAGTTGGTCGCGCAATTTCGTGGATTGGTTGATGTTATAAACTATCACCATTGGATGCGGGCTCAGTGGTC